GCTTCCTCCTGCCAGGCTGGGACCCTCAGACCTCCAAGCACCAGATTCCCTGCAGGATACACTCTTAGTTCAATGTCAGTGTTGTCATATTTCAGAGTGTGGAGACCAGAATGGGGAGGGTTGGTTCCCCATACTTATTTTTTTTATGGTGCATGATTATGAGTGGTTTTTGTTTGTTTGTTTTGTTTTTGCTTTTTGAGACAGGGTTTCTCTGTGTAGCCCTGGCTGTCCTAGAACTCACTCTGTAGATCAGGCTGACCTTGAACTCAGACATCTGCCTATCTCTGCTTCCTGGGTGTTGGGACTAAAGGTGTGCACCACTACCTGCTGATTAAGATTTCTTATGTGAAGATGTGATATGTGCTTAAAAATATTGATTCAAGTTTAAGGTAATGAGTGACTGAGGGTGTAATTTGGTTGGTTGAGTGTTCACCTAACATGAACAAAGCCTGGTGATTGACCCCAGTGTCCATTAACCCCAGGCATTGAAGGTAATGGTGCATCTATAATCTGTAATCTCAATACTCTGGAGGTGGAGGCAGGAGGATCAGAAATTCAAGGTCATTCTCAGTTATCTGAGAATCCTATGTCAGAAACAAACAAAACAGCACAAGAACCCCTCTGTTTCATAACTCTGAAATCAAAACTCCCATTTCCTGTAAGGATTCTTTCTTCCTTTCCATTCTCAAATAATTGCTTAGGATGTTGAAAAAGATCTTAACTTGGCAGAAGGATGTTGTAGGATGCTTGGGGTAGCCTTAAGCACATGTCTTCCAGTTAGCAAACTTTGAAAGAGAATCACACACAACTGCCTGGCTTGTCCTGGGAACCTCTGTGGGTCTCAGTTTCTATCCAGTGGGACTCCCGCCTGATCCAGAGTGCTGCTATTGGCTAGTTGAGAGACCTTTGCAAATCGATATCCCAGGAATCTGTGCCACCTATATGCTCCCTGAGTGAAGCTGTCCATCATATTTCTCCAGAGGAAACCACCATGCCAGCTGTACTTTTCCTTGGAGTTTGTGTCATATTCATTCCTTCCCTTGACACCATAGACACCCTGTCTGTTCTTCAGAGCCTTCTCCCGTGCTACCTGCATGCTCCAGCCTTGTTTCACATGCCCTGCCCAGCATCAGGATTAGTGCACCTAGCCTTCCCATCTCCTTGTCTCTGAAGGAATTATTCAGATTCTGCTTCATCTATCCCTTTCCATGTGCTATGATGTACCTGGAAATTACAAACCTTTGAGAGCAGGAGTGTATTTGCAAAACCTTTGCAAAACCCCATAGTTGTAACATAGAAGAACATTGTAAAGAATTTGAAATTGGGGCTGGGGAAGTGGTTCAATTGGTAGGATGTTTGCTGTCAAAGCATGAGGATTTGAAGTTGGACCCCTAGAACCCACATAAAAAGCTGGGTGTGATGGGGCTGGAGAGATGACCTGGGCTATGATCACCTGATACTCTTTCTGAGCCACTCCAGGAGGCTCACAACTGACAGTGAATCTAACTTGCTTAATTGGCCTCTGCAGGCATGCACACATAAACAAATAAAAATGTAAGCTAAGTCTTAAAAAAGAAAGAATGAAAGAGGAACTGGTGTTGCTACTCCCAGTACTGAGAAGGTGGAGACAGGTGGGTCCCAGGGCATTGCTGATTTACCAGCCTAGCTGAATTGCTCAACTCCAAGTTCAGTGATAGACTCTTGTCTCTAAAGGTATGGTGAAGAAACAGGTGTCATGGCACACTCATTTAATCCCAGAATTTGAGAGGTAGAGGCAGGCAGATCTTGGTAAGTTCAAGCCCAGCCTGCTCTATATAGGAAGTCACAAGCCAGTCAGAGCTACATAGAGAGACCCTGTCTCAAAGAAACCAATACCAAACAAACAAACAAAAAACAAACCAATATAAAGTGAGGAGTGATTGACATGGAGGACACCAGCTAGCCTCCATGTGTATGCATGCATTTGCATATAAGAATACTATACACATACACACTAGACTATGAAATCACACTGAAGCTTTTGCACAGCACCTACTGTGTGTGTGCCAAGTAGTGCAGCAGTGAGCAAAACAAAACAACAATTAGGCTGGGTGTTGGTGGCATGAACCTCGGGAGGCAGAGGCAGGAGAATCTCTGAGTTTGAGGCCAGCCTCGTCTACAGGGTAAGTACCAGATGGCCAGGGCAACACAGAGAAACCCTGTCTCAAAAAACCAACCCTCTCCCTAAAACAACAAGAACCCCAACAGTTACACAGAGGCTCTCAGATATGGTCCAGGCCTTCAGAGATATCCAGTTCCCTTCATCCCATGCAAGTGAATGGTATTAAAAAAAAAAAAAAAAAAAAAAAAAAAAAAAAAAAAAAAAAAAGCACCCAAGCTGAATTTGGTCTATGTGACCATGCTCATCCAGTCTGGTTCTGTATGCTAGTCTTGAGGCTCACACGGGCAGGGCAGCTGATGAAGAGGAGCAGGTGGCTAGGAAGCATCCTTGGCATGTATGTTTGAGAGGGAGGGCCAGGGAGACTACATGGGAAGAGCTAGATTCCCATAGTGACGGAGAAGCTCACCATATAATCCTGGCCTACAAACCACACAAAGGGTCAAACCTGCCAGTGCTGCCTCCTGGTGCAGACTTGAAAATCATTCTCTATGTGGCAGGAGTTGCCTCTGCTTGGCCTGAGTAGAGGTCACCCTGCAGAGCCCGGGGCCAGTGCTAATTGCCCCCCTGGGGCTCCTGTAAACTCATGTAATGACCACTTGGGCCTTGGGCCTCTGCCAACGCTTTCTACGTTCTTCAGCAAGGGGAAGGACACTGGAAAAACCAGTTAGGGTGTGGAAGGAAGGTTCTTAGTATGTCCAGGCCTGGAAGCAGAGTTTTTACAAGTCTTTGTTGCTGAGAACATACCTCAGCTGATAAAAATGCTTGCTGCTAAATTTGGTTCCCAGCCCTCACATAAAAAAGACAGGGCCTGGTGGCACTGTCTTGCCAAGCTCTAGGGAGGCAAAGACAGGTAGATCCCTAGGGTGCTCTGGCCAGCCAATCTAGTCAACTTGACAAGCCACAGGCCAGTGAGAGGCTCTCAAAAAACAAGTTGGCTGATGCTTGAGGAAGGATGGCTGTTGTCCTCTGGCCTTCACATTTCAGTACATAGACTGCACTTCTGTGCTTACCCATACTGAAAAGCCTACACACACAGTAGTGAATAGAGAAGGGTGCGTGACTGTGCACAGCCAGTTTCGGGTCCAGGTCCAGAGGCTGTGGTCAGGAAACTCTGTGGTCCACATCTGGCCAGGGCAGCTTTGGGTCCAGGCCCAGAAGCTGTGGTCAGGACTCGCTGTCCACATGTGGCTGGAGCCCTTCAACTTAGTCTCAAGACCCCAGGATTTGCAGAGTGCTCCCTGTGTAATTGTTACTCAGCAAATATTTGCACCAAATGGTTTGATTTCCGGTTCTTTGCCCATTCTGGAATCCTTGCTTTGGCTTGTTTCCTTGGCAGCTGGTTCTCGTGGCTTAGAAGGCTGGAAGAGAAGAGTCACAGGGCTGGGCACCTATGGGAGGTGCCACTGTTGCAATTAACCTTCTGGTGCCTCCAGGCAGTTCTTGGCGTGTGGCCACATCACCTTTCTCCACCTCTGACCCTCTGCCACTTCTGTGTGTCACTGTGCATGCCATTGGATTTGGGGCCCAGAGCTTTTTCAACGATTGTCCCCCTACCTTAGAATTCTTAGTTTAATTGTCTTCCGTGGCTGTCTGTCCTATTTAATGCCACATTTCCGGTTTCCATAATTGGATGAAGGAAGGTGTAGATATTTCGCTAACTAGTTGCCTCTTTTGTTTAAAATGTTTTGCGCTCGCACGCGTGTGTGTATGAAGGTTAGAAGACAATTTGTAGGAGTCTGTTCTTCTACCAACTCACCAGCTCCTTGCTTTCTTTTTTGACAAAGAATCTCACTACATGGCCTATTCTGGTCTTGAACTGTCAATTCTCCTGTCTCAGCTTTCCCTACATTGGGATTCTAGGCTGCATCACCATTCCCCATTCCCTGGTGTATAATAGCTGCTTGTAAAGCCATCCAGTCAGTAGTCACTGGGCTTGTTGTCACTGCTTTGTTTTGGGATTAGGTTCACATTTTTATACATGTGACTTTAGAGCCATATCACCTCTTTGTCTATGACTTCGGGTTGGGAAAGTCTTTCCCTAATAAGCTGCTTATAGCAGCCTTTCATGTTAAAATAAAGCCTTGATAAAAAAAAAATAAAGCCTTGAGAAATGGATTGTTTATTCTGAGACAGGATCTCACTGTGAAGCCTTGGCTGGCTTGCAGCTCATAGTGGTCTACTCGCCTTTGCCAATATGCCTGGCCTGGCTGAGAATTTGAGTTTAAATTTTAAAAATTATTTTATGTGCCAGGCAGTGGTGGTGCGTGCATGCCTTTAATCCCAGCACTCAAGAGACAGAGGCAAGTGGATCTCTGTGAGTTCCAGGCTGCCTGGTATATATAGTGAGTTCCAGGACAGCCAAGAAACCCTATCTGGAAAAACAAAACAAAACAAAATTTATTTTATGTGTATGGGTGTTCTGGCTGCGTGTGTCTGCATACCACATGTGTGCCGTGAGTCTTCAGAGTCTAGATCTTCTGGAACCATAGTTATAGATGGTTATGAGTCACTATGTAAGAGCTGGGAATTGAACTGAGGTCCTTTGAATGAGTAGCCAGTGCTCTTAACTGCTGAGCCCTATCTCTGGCTCTGAGAGATTGAAATTGTTTTCAACTGCATGTGTAAAGTCCTTTTTGTGCAAGCATGTGAACTGGGTCTGGCCCCGGGACCCGTGAATAAACAAACTGGATGTGGTTTGGAGGCAGAAGCAGGAGGGTTGGGAGTTCACAGACCTCCTTAGCTACCTAGCAAGTCTGAGGCCAGCTCAGGCTACAAGACATCCTGTCTCAAATAAAATTACAGAAAGAAATGAAAAAATGCACTGCCCCCACCCTCCCAGGTCAGTCATATGAAATCCGGCTGCTGGAGAACCGGAAGCTAGGGGACTTCCAAGATCTGAACACCAAGTATGTGAAGGTGAGTGAGTCTTCACTTCATGTGCTGGAGGAGGAGCACTGCAGGGTCTGAGTGCCTGGAGGAGGAGCACTGCAGGGTCTGAGTGCCTGGAGGAGGAGCACTGCAGGGTCTGAGGGTCTGAGTGCCTGGACTGCAGGGTCTGAGTGCCTGGAGGAGGAGCACTGCAGGGTCTGAGTGCCTGGTAGGAAGGAATTCAAGGGAGAAGCAGCTTCCTTCTCATCTCTGAGCTACAGTCCCATCCCAATTTCTGGAGTGCACTGTCCCCTGAGATGGGTAGGCAGTGGACCAGGATAGAGTGGCTTATGTTGGTGGTGTGTGCTCTGGGTTACCTAATTTTTGTCCTCAATTGAGCCTTTCTCACCTGCACAGAGCAGCACATTAGTTAGACATGTATGTGAAGTTGTTCAGAACAGTAGAAGCCATGGAATGTAGCACCCTTCTCACCATTGCCCATGTTCTTGGGGTTTCGAGGAAAGGAAGCCCCAAAAAGAGGGCCAGAGGTTTTCCCTGGCCAGGGACAGGGATGCATGCTTTTCTTGGGGTCTCCCAGTACCTACACACAGAGCCATCTCTGACATCTGCCTTTCACAGAGTATCATCCGTGTAGTTTTCCATGACCGCCGGCTGCAGTACACCGAGCACCAGCAGTTGGAGGGTTGGCGGTGGAGCAGGCCTGGGGACCGTATCCTGGACATTGGTGAGTCTCCTCAGACAGTACCAACCCTGAACAACTGGGCCATAGGGAGTGCAGTTCTTTGTGGATGCCACTTAGATTTATGCTCACAGGGAAGCCCAAAATAGTGGCACATATATGCAGTTCCGTGCTGGAGATGCACAGGCAAGCAGAGATATCGAGGTTGAGGCCATGTTGGTCTGTATATAGTGAGTCTGAAAGAAAGAGGACTAATAAGATAGCTCGACTGGTAAAATGTAAGAATGAGGACCTGAGTTCAATCCCTAGAACCTATGTAAAAAGAAGCCATGTGTGTGTGGTGGTGAGCTCTTGTAATCTCAGCTATGGGGACACAGAAACAAGCAGATCTCTAGTGCTTGCTGGCCAACTAGTTGGGCTGAGTTGATGAGCTTCAGGTAATGAGAAACCCTGTTCTGAAAACTATGGTAAAGAGTGACAACCAAGGTTTTCCTCTGATCTTCATATATGTGTATGTATGCATGTGTGCATACAAACACATGCCCCTGCAAGAGTACCCCATACACATATTGAAGGAAGGGAAGGGAAGGGAAGGAAGGAAGGAAGGAAGGAAGGAAGGAAGGAAGGAAGGAAGGAAACATGAGACCTGTCAGTGGTGACCAAAGTCACTGGGTGCTACCCTCAGGGAGTTCTCTATAAAAGAGTGCAGAGCCTTAAAGGGTGATGAATCTGGCTTGTCTGAAACTCTATGTAGACCATACTGAATTCAAACTCACAGAAATCCTTCTGCCTCTGCCTTGTGAGTAGGTCATGGGCCATCATGCCTGGCTCCTTCAAGGGTTTTGATAAGTGGTTAGGGAAGGGTGGGCATATCATAGAGCTGGGGTGCTCAGTACTGACCACCCAGCTTTGCCCTCAGCCCTTAGTTGTGCTTTGGGAAAAGCTAAGGTGAAGATCAGGCATGTATACCAGGACATCAGTCTGTCCTTCCAGATGGAAATCAAGGGAAACTTTTCATAAGACAGGATAAAGACATCAAGCAATCCACAGCAATTCCTGCCAGGCTATCTGCCAGCAGAGATGGGCAAAGCATACTTTCAGATTAGCTGTGATTTCAAACTACAGGAGTTTGCACCATATCTAGGATCCTTCCCCTCAGTGTTTGGGAGAGGCTGACGGTCACACTTTTGTGTGTATGTGTGTGCAGATATTCCACTGTCTGTTGGTATCTTGGACCCCAGGGCCAGCCCAACCCAACTGAATGCTGTGGAGTTTTTGTGGGATCCAGCAAAAAGAGCATCTGCATTCATTCAGGTGAGCAAACATGAGAGCTACAGGGAGTAGCTCATCAGCCAGCAAAGATGACTGTCTGTTGAATGGAAAGTAGCTGAGGGAGAACAGAGGATGGGTGGATTTAGGTTCTTGGGTCAGGAGAGTTGAAGCAAAGACTTGGAATGTTGTAGAATTATGTTTGGGTTCTTGCTATAGAAAGCTGTGAGGTAAAAAAAGATTTGGTATTTCCAAGGCTAGGGAGATAGCACAGATTCCATAAAGTACTAGTCACAAAAGCTTGAAGACCTGAGTTCAATCCTCCACACAAGAAAGACTGGAAAGGTGATGCACTGGGTGGGGGTGGGGCTGGGGGTGGGAGAACAGTGAAAGCAGGTAGACCAGTTAGCCTAGTTTAATTAGAGTCCCAGGCCAGTGAGAGACCCCAGCTCAAAAAACCAAGGAAGACTTCATCTAAGGGATCACACCTGAGGTTGATGTTTAATCTTTGTGGATGCACACAAGCACAAACACACACCACCCAATTAAAAAATAAATCAGGATTTTAGAGTTCAAGGCCAGCCTGTCTGGTCTACAGAGTGAATTCCAGGATAGCCAGGACTGTTTCACAGAAAAACTCTTGTCTTGAAAAACAAAAACAAACAAACAAAAAAGAACAAATAATATTCTTGTTGCAAAATTTAGTTATATTTGTATTTCAGTAATACTGTATTTTAAAACATTACAATATTAGAACAATACATAGCTATCCAGCGCCTTCTCTGTAGTGTGCTCAGAAACACAGAGATGAGTTTGGCATTCTGACTATGGCTCCAGACTGGATCATTAACCAGGATACCAGGGTTTCAGAGAGTAACAGGACTGTGCTCATCTGCCCTGCAAGTCTAGGATTTACCAAGGGAGTGGTGATGCTGTGGCTGCTATGTTTAGTGGCCTAAAGCAATCTAAGTAAGGATTTAGCTGATCAGACAAAGCCCCAATAAAGGGACAGAGGTGGACACTGTGTGTGTTCTATGACCAGAGGGAAGGGAGGCCTTGCTTGGCCTGATGTGGGGGTAAATGGGAAGTTAAGCAGAGCAGGGAATTGAAGCAGGGATGGTCACCTCCTTGGGGGAGAGGAACCCTAGGGCCATTCAGACTTCCTTCTACCTGACTTCAGGTCTCACCCCCTTCCCCTGCTCCCCTCCCAGGTGCACTGTATCAGCACAGAATTCACCCCCAGGAAGCACGGGGGCGAGAAAGGAGTGCCTTTTCGGGTGCAGATTGACACATTTAAGCAGAACGAGAATGGGGAATACACGGAGCATCTACACTCTGCCAGCTGCCAGATCAAGGTGTTCAAGGTAGGATGCACCACACAGCCAACCCTGGTCAAACCCAGCAAATGGCCCTTTGCTATTCTTTGAGCATAGACCTAGCTGGGTGTGTGTGCTCCTGGGCTTCTCTTGGATTCCAGCTCATGGACCTGGGCCTGTCCCTGCCCAGCCTTCTCTGGTGACTCTAGTATTGGAAGGGGTGTCTCCTCATACCAATGCAAGGCTCTGCTTTTGTAAGAATGACTGACTTTGTTTAGAGTTGTATTTTCCAGGCTCCAAGCGTTTCACAGGCATTCATATGTTCTCCTATGCAGTGTCTCCTTAAACATGAGGGCAAATGTAGGTGTGCCAGTGCCTTTAATTCCAGACAGAGGCAAGTGGATCTCTGTGCGTTTCAGCTCAGCCTGGCCTACAAAGTGAGCTCCAGGCCAGCCAGGGCAACAAACAAAAAAGAAGTAAACATGAGGTCCAGGGGCCATTCTTGGAGGTCTAGCTCAATGCCATTTTTCTCTTCATTGGTTGACTTTGTGTGTGTGTGTGTGTGTGTATGTGTGTGTGTGTGTGTGTGTGTGAGAGAGAGAGAGAGAGAGAGAGAGAGAGAGAGAGAGCGCACTTATAGATGTCAGAGGACAGAAATCAGCTCTCTTCCTTTACCATATGGATCCTAGGGATTGAACTCAATATCATCACGCTTTGCCTCTCTCTACCTACTGAGCAATCTCACCAGTTCATTGTCTGCCTTAGTTTTTGAGACAGGGTTTCTCACTGAACCCAGAGCTCACCAATAGAGTATAACTAGCTGAGCACTGAGCTCCAGGGATCCTCCTGCCTCTGGCTCCTCAGGTGTGTGTCACCATGCCTGGATTTTTCTGTGGGTGTTGGTTCTATATTAGGCTCTCACACTTTTATGATGGGCACTCTATAAGAACTCTACCATTGAGAAGACCCTCAGGCCGGCTTTCTCTTCAAAAAGATGGTGGTGTGGCTCAGTGATAGAGGACTGGCTCTAACATGTAAGGAGGTCCTAATTTCTGTCTCAAGTACCAGGAAAAACAAATTCATCTTAGAGAAAGAAACATCTTCAGAAGTCTACCCAGCCTCTTGCTATCCTGATTGATGCAACAGTCTCTCACTGATGGTTCTTATCTCCTCAATCTGGATTGATTATTTTCTGAAGGTTATGTACCCTGTACCCTCAGGGAAAGGAAGTACAGCAGCCATGTGGCAGTAACTTTTTTTTTTTTTTTTTTTTTTTTTTTTGATAGGGTTTCTCTGTGCAACAGCCCTAGCTGTCCTGGAACTCTGTAGAACAGGCTGACCTTGAACTCAAAGAGATCCTCCTGCCTCTGCCTCCCGAGTGCTAGGATTAAAAGCATGAGACACCACCACCTGGCTGCCTGTGTCATTTTTATATTTTTGGTTGTAAGCCTAGCCTTTAACGGCTGAGCCATCTCTCCAGCCCGCCTGTGCCATTCTTAAGAGCATGAAGTTAGCCCATGACCAGCAGGTTAAATTGCTTCTGTCCATCTGTAGAATATTGGAGCTCCTCCCATCAGGGGTCACTTTGGGTGACTAGCTTTCTTTGTACCCAGGTGAATTTGGAACCTGCTGGAAACATCTGCTGGCACTGAAAGACCAGGGGAGAGTCTATTTCAGATAGGGCTGTGTTAGAGAGACCGATTTTCCTGAACAGGGATAGACAGGAACTAAATATTCATAGGTATACCCACAGACCTGGGCAGTTGAGGCTGCCCCCCCCCCAACCAGCTTTGTGCTCCCAGAAAGCAAGACTGCCTCCACCCTCTGTGTGGCCTGGCACTTTGAGTTCATGGCATGCATGTTACCTATTTTTTCTCTTTGTATAAGGGGCTGTTTGTATGTGTATGTGGGAGTTGAGTATATTTGTGTAGCATGTGGAGGTCAGGGCTCAACCCTAGGTTCCCCAGGAGTCCTATTTTTGATACAGGTCCTCTCACTGAATGTGGAACTGGCCCTTTAGGCTAAAGGATCTATTGGTCTGCTTCCTCACCTCTGGAATTATATGTTTGTCACTGTGCCCTGTTTTTTGTTTGTTTGTTTGTTTGTTTTTAACATATGTTCAGGGGGATCAAATTCAGGTTCTTTTTTTTTTAATATAAAGATTTTATTTATTTATTATGTCTTCTGCCTGCATGCCAGCAGAGGGCACCAGCTCTCATTCAAGGTGGTTGTGAGCCACCATGTGGTTGCTGGGAATTGAACTCAGGACCTCTGGAAGTACAGTCAGTTCTCTTAATTGCTGAGCCATCTCTCCAGTCCCCCAAATTCAGGTTCTTGATGTGTCAGGTTTCTGAAAGAAAAAGCCAGCATGTTCTGACCAGCCAGCCCCTTGAAGGGTGTGAAGTGGAGAGCTTTACCTCACAAGCATACTAGTTGATGGTCTGGCTGTACCTACCCCACCTATGGCCTCTGAGGCAGGGAAGAGAGGCTGAGACTTTAGCAGAAGGCAACATGTGACTGCCATGACCCTAGGCCCCTAACAGTTTCTTTGGTACTCACATTGAACACTATGTCCCTGTGTGGCTCACTGCAAGCTTATCTTGATCTGGGGTTGGTGTCACCCTGAATGAGGCTTCCCTAACAGCCCTTGAACAGGGAACCAAAAGGCATCCACCCGAGGAAGGCACACACTGGAATAAAAGTTCTGTGAGGCCACTAGACCTGAACTAATTGTTAGTATCTGCACATCACAGGTATATAATAAAATTGCTCAGTGTGGAGGGGTTCTGAGTCTTGTATCTGTGCTTGCCAAACGGAATGGGAGGCACAAGGTAGGTGACACAGAAGGGAGGGACTGTACCCTCAGGCCTCTCTTACCAACTCAGGCTCAGAGCCTCTGGTTTGGCTGTGGAGCTGGGGCGCTCTTGCAATTAGCACATAGAATAGATTCTATGGTGGGTGTGGGTAGCACCTAGATGTTGCAGCCTCTTGCACTGTCATTTAGCCACAGCAGAGACAGAGATGCCATTGAGATTGAGATGTATTGAGGGATGGGTGTGCTGGGGCCTGAGTAGAGTTGAACATGGCATGGGTTGAGTCACTAGGCACTCTCTCTCCTCTCTTCAGTCTCCATCAGTCACCCCAGCACTGTGGTATATCCCATCCTGGTTCTCCATGGCTCCTTCCAGAAGCAAGTGGCTATTGGTAACAATCTTTCCTAAGCACCCACTGAGTTGCCAAGTGCTAGGCTCAAGATCCCAGGGATGGAAAGAAAACATGCCACTCAGGGGAGGTTCAAGAGCTGTCCTTCCTGCTTTACAGGCCCCAGTTTGAGGTGGGAGCCTGAAGGCCTCTGTCTTCCTTCCCCAGCCGATGGCTGCTTTCTGGCTTAAGTGGATCCTGTATTCTGTACTTGCAGCCAAAGGGAGCTGACCGGAAACAGAAAACAGACCGGGAAAAGATGGAGAAAAGAACAGCTCAGGAGAAGGAGAAGTACCAGCCATCCTATGAAACCACCATCCTCACTGAGGTGGGCTGGGGCTGGGGCTGGGGTTGGGGCTTGGCCATGGCCATGGTGCACAGTAAACTACCCATCTGTTGGGCAGGAGCTCTGTTGAGTGCCCAGTGCACACATCAGTGGGGCTATTGGTTGGTGACTTTGAGATCACTTTGAGCTCCCTGCTGCCTTTGAATACGTTAGTGCTTTTGAAAATGTGGGTGAACAGGTTATACATTCAGTCAGTGTGGTTCAAAATGTGAAAGAGTGCAACCACAAGTATCTACCCATCAATGGATCTATGCCTTGGCTTCCAGGCACCCAGGGCCTCTGGTTCTGTGGTCATCTGTCTTTCCCTGCAGTTAAGGCTGTGTGTACACACTTTAGCCCATGCCCGTGTCTGTATATCAGCCATACACAGTCTTCTGTGCTGTGTCTGTTGTGCTTAATGGCCATCTTGCACGTGAATCCTGCTGTCCTTTCATAACAACTTTCTTCTAGTTCCTTGTCCAGCTATGCAGTGTCCTGAGGAGGCCTGTTGTGGACATGCACATGACAGGACTATGTACAGAGTTCTACTCATCTATGTGAGCTCACTGGCTGGTAGTGTAAGCACTGGTTTTTGTTTGTTTGTTTTTGTTTTGTTTTGTTTTCTGAGACAGGGTCCTCATGTGTCTCTGGCTGTCCTTGAATATTTTATGTAGACCAGGCTGGTCTCCAACTCACAGAGATTCTGCCTCTGTTTCTTGAGTGCTGGAATTAAAGGTGTGGGCCACTATGCCCAGCAAGCACAGACTTTTTATAATTCAGTGCTAGGGCCTGAGGGATGGCTCAGTAAAAGTGCTTAGTGGCCCTTTTAAAAGGGTAAAAGTGCTTGCTGCATAAGCCTAACAGCTTGAGTTTCTTTGATCCCCAGATCCAAGGTGGAAAGAAAGAACTGACTTCTGGGTGTTATCCTCTGACCTCCATACACAAGCCATGCCATATGCACACCAGAACACATGCGTGCATTAGAGTTGGAACCCAGGATCTCAGGTGCATACAATGAGCATCTGAGGCTGCTGAGCCCTAGCCCATCCCCAGCACTGGCTATTTCTTCTTTGGAGAGATTCAGAAATGCACTTCCTGTTAAGCCCGACACCATAGACACAGCCCTCTGGGGCCATCCATAGGTTCAGAGAGCTCCTCAGAGGCTATCACCAGCTCTTCCGTTTCCTGTCACTGGCCTTCAGTGGCTTTACTTTTGCTGGCCTGTTTTCTTTAAGAGACCATTCCTCATTGTGTTGGGGATTTTGACTAGTTGGATTCCCTCTGAAGGCATGTTATACCCAGGATGACCTTACAAGGCCAAGGCTATGTTGATGATGAGACTTGTGTGTAGACATCCAAGAGGAGGGTGGCCAGCAGGTCCCAGCTGTGCACGTGCCTATGTCTGAATGTGTTAAGCCACGTGTGAGGAATGTTTCCATAAGGCAGGGTAAAAAGCTAATGTGGCTTACAAGTATGTACTGGCACTTTATTTTTCTGAGGGTGACAGTGGGCAGGAAGCCTGGAACAGGAAAACTTCCTTTTGCTCTCTGCCAGCAGAAGGACACAAGGACTGTGTTTCATGCAGTTTCTTCCCATGCCTGGTCTATGACGCTGCCAGGAATACCCCATCTGGTGGTGTTTCTCATCTTGGCTGAGCCCCAACTTCTCTGTTTTAATCCTGACTTCCTTGAAAGAAGAGAGTGTGCCATGGCTGTGCAGGCCCTCCACAGCACAGCACAGCACAGCACAGCACAGCACAGCACAGCACAGCACAGCACAAAGAATCCAGGCTATGACCTTGGGATGCCAGCATGCCCCTTCTATCAGCTCATCAGATTTCCTCCCTTGGTAGGATTTAGCATCAACACATTCCAGCCCACACTCACAATGGTTAAATATTTACCAACCTGGCATTTGGTGGGGGATAGTCGGTCTTGAGGTATGCTGCAGCCTGGCCCTCTCCAAGCGAAGTCATTGAGTCACTGCCCTCTAAGGGAGGGAAGGGAAGAAACACAGGCTTGGGGCACGCTCTTTCCCTTGAGGTCTGTGTTCTGTCTCCAACACCCCCAACTGGCCTATGCATTGGAATGTCAAGCAGGGGAAGGCTTACATCGTGTGTGTTTCTGTCTTTTGGAGCCCAGATGGGTACTAAAATGGAATAACTGTACAAGTCAGCTGGGAGGAGCTACTCTTGGAAGAGTTCCAGGATCCGTCCTGCTTGCTACAGCCCTGAGTGCAGTCTCCACACTTCATAGAATGGATTTTAGCTTTGAATTGTACTGTTTTTTTTCTTTTTCCTTTAGAAATCATCTATTCCCTGTATAATGCATCTTTAAATATATTTGACCAGTTGGGTTGATTGTCTTCATTTGAGGGTTTAGGCATTACATGATGCTTTTTTCCGCCTTTGGTTTGACTACCAAGATGCTCAAAGGGGTACATTTCATGGATTGTCTGTTACGTATCATTTGGGTGACCCTAGCATTCTGGCTTGCTATGGGTCATTGTGAGCACTCAGTCAGTATGGGCTCTGTGCTGACACAACAGAGTCTTAAGCTGATGAATACTTACTACGAAAGGCCCAAGGGGCATGGGCTGTCTCTTGAGCTTATCCCAAGATCACTGTTGAGTCACACTGTCCTGAATCTCTCCCCACAGTGCTCTCCATGGCCTGATGTAGCCTACCAGGTGAACAATGCTCCATCCCCAAGCTACAATGGCTCTCCCAACAGCTTTGGACTTGGTGAAGGGTATGTCCAACCTTCCTTTCCTTGGGGCCCTGGCATACAGTGGGTTAGAGGTTCCTTTTTTTTAATTTTTTTTATTTTTTGGTCTTCTTTCACCCCATGGCCTGGCATCTATTTGGGTTTTAGTGTGGCTAACTGGTATAGCAATTGCAGCCATATTTATCTATTCCTTACCTACACCCCATGTTGGGGGTGGAATCCAGGGCCTGGTACATGCTAGGCAAGAGATCTACCACTGAGCTACGTCCCCTCAGCTCCCATATTTGGCTTTGGGTTTTTAAGGCAGGGTTGTATATAACCCAGATTGACCTTGAGATTGTTGGTTAGCACAGGCTGGCCTTGAACTTGCAATCCTACTTTTTTAGCCTCTTGTAATGCCATCACACCTGGCTATGTGCTCTGTCTGTCCCTGTCTCTGTCTTTCTGTGTGTCTGTCTGTCTGTCTGTCTGTCTCTCTCTCTCCCTCTCTCTCTCTCTCTCTCTCTCTCTGTGTTCTTTTTTTGGGGGGGGGTGTTTCGAGACAAGTGTTTCTCTGTATTGCTTTGGAGCCTGTCCTGGAACTCACTCTGTAG